AGTTTATGAATGAAAGCTTAGAGGAATAATATATTTTAAATAACCTACTGATTTTATTAATAGTTTATTTGTATTTGAATTTAAACCTTTAAAAGTACGTAATTGTTTTATAAGAAAAAGGTGTTTATATGAAGATAGCATATGCACTTTTTCGTCATTTCTGTTAAAAGAGTCTGTTGTGTAAATTTCTATAGCGCATTAATTTATACAAATAAAGGGAATATTAAAAAATTAACCAAATGAAAACATTCAGTAAACATTTAACTGCGTCGATACCTATTCTTTTTGCCTAAATTATGAGTAAGTATAACTAAAATTATATTTCATTCCATTATGCGCTATTTCTATTGAAACGCTTTTCGGGATCTTGGATAGTAATCTTGCTTCTTGTACCTACTACAAAGAGTACAAACTAGTAAATAAAAATAAGAAAAATTAACATTAACAAAAATAGAGAAAATAAAAGCGTTTAATTTTTAACACTGCACCCGAAGGCAAAAAGACAAATAATGACAAAGTCATTTCAATAAAGTTAAAATAAAAACATATCTGTGCAGAGCAGAGTTTATGAAATCTACGAGCGGGGATAGAACCAGAGACCTAGAAGGTCTGAGAAATATTTCCGCGCTCATTACCACTGAGCTGCGGTTCCTCCGGTGGGTTGTGTGCACTTTTTGGTACACGAAGCTCAGATACATATTGTAAAGGCGATGAACCAAAAGTCGCCAAGCACAAGATCGTGTAACCCTACGTTTCCTGTTTTAACCAACCGGAGCAAAGAGCAGCAGAAACGGCTTTGTGAATAAGCTGTGCACAGTGGAAAATCCAAATTAATGCCCCAAAGTCAAAACGCTTGATCATTCTGAAACGCAAAAGGAACGCTTCGATCAAAAAACAACTTGCTTTATTCAACGAAACTCTTCCGGTGAATTTCCCGACCAAATATCTTGGTGTTTTATTATTGCACACATCATGTTAATAACGTGCATGACGGGGAACTTAAAATTATTAAAATTATCGAATGCTTGTACCCAATTATTGGGAAATACTCTTCACTGGATCTAAACAAGAAGAGACTTATTTATTTCTTCGTTATCAGACCAGTCATGACGTACTCTTGGCCAGCATAGACAACTATCTCCGATAAGAATCTTAAAAAGCTTCAAGTGGTGCAAAGCAGATACCTTCACATCATTACAAATGCCCGTTTCTATGTATGTAACAAATGTATTCACGACGACCTTAAGATTGAACAGTTGGCGAAATTTCTATAAAATTCAATGAACGCTTCTATCAGGAAGCACGAAAGTGTAATATAATGAAACAATTTGAAACTTTCACCTAAGAGATTCTTCAAGAGGACCGCCATCTGCGCTCATTTAAGGCTTTCATGCTCAGCGATAACCAAAATGTTCCTACATAAAGCCTTAAATATACTTTCACATCTGCTTTGTTCAAGATCTCAACGGAATCTGTGTATACAGCATGATTTTGACTTTATCCTCATCACTCATTTTTTGCAAAGCAAATGGTTGTAAACATTTTGTATATAGTCTTCTAGTGTATAAGAAAAACTTGAATTTTCATGCATTATATTTTGTCTTCAGGAGTCACCTATGCATTTTTGTCTCTGTACCGCTACATGATGATAGCCGGTATACAACTGATGATAGTCGGTTGTATACCGATGTAAGTCGGTAGCTTGTACTTTTGCAAGCTAGACGCGACGACAACAAACTTTTTAATGTACTGCGTTGCATATTACATCTCGGTAGAAATCAGGTACCAGCAACACTTTATTTACTGCCATTATTAATTCTTTTAATATATTTTATCCTGGAAGAATATTTATCATGAAAAACTTTAAATAAGTAAAGTGAAACTAAATTAACTTGTTCAGTAGTCGAATACAACATTCTCAGCAAATATAATTTGTTCAAAATTTTTAAGGCCAAAATTTAAGTAATTATGCCTGGTATCTGCATCCCAAAAGCCGGTATTAAATTTATATTAAGGATTTCTCTAACTAACAAAAATATTTCACTATTTTTCTGGTATGAGTATGTGTTAGTAAAGCATAAAAATATAAGGTACTTTTCCGTTTTGCCGGCGCAAACGATACTCGCCAATAATGGTACACCTGATGCCAAACGGAATATACTCGATGGTAACCTTTTACGCCTCATTTTCAAAACAAGTCGCAGCCGTTTCTTACCAAATTGATTGTTTCTTTCAATACTGGCATGCAATTACAATGTCAATTAGGATGCAAACACACCGCTCACCCGAAGGCGAAAGTATAGAAAAGGCAAAATCAAGGGTTATATTCATCAATTCTAATTAGAATGCACTAACGAAGTAAAGCACTGCGGTTTTACATAATTTTTGAGTAAGCTATTCGTACGAATTGAAATAATTCTTGCATTTAAACTTGTATTCCAAATTAAGATTTCACTTGAAATTAATGTAGATAGTTACTGAGAGAATTATATATATTTTTGTAGCGTAGTTTACGTGTGATGAGATCACTTGGGATTGCGTGATACGAACCGGCGAATCAGGATGTTGAACCATGATAGCATAGTAAATTCTTGAATTAATGTCTTTTTACAAATTTATTGTCTTTATTTATTGGCTTTTTACAAATTTTAAAGCATATTAAAATGTTTATGCCTTCAAAATAAAAAATTCTGAGAACTAACTTTTGTTAACATTTTTTATGTGTATACTGACTGTATGTTGTCGCCAACAAAGTATGCTTGGCGAGATTTGCGCCGGCGAAACGGAAAAGTACCAAACAGGGTAAAGTACGAAAATGCAGCTATTAAAATTTCAGGAATAGATTTTGCAATGAAGCGAGCTTTTTCTTTAAGATTTTAAAGAAAATTAATTCCAAAAACCGCTTAGATTATGATAAACCATATTTGTGTTATTGAAGTTTATGCCGACATTTTCTGTGTTCAATATTTGTGTAATAAATAATATTATCAGTTGTAAATAAATTTTGTAGGTTTGCGCAGTAAGTTGAAAGAGATAAAAAATTGTATTTTTCCGATAATTTTGTGTTACATTATTTATGGCACCATTCTTTTACAGATATTTTTACGACTATATTTTATTTCAAAATAAATTAACATTAAAGATACTCAAAACATCGATGTAAAAAAAGAAAAAAAGCACTACAATGAATATGTAAATTAAGGACTTCAAGTTTTGAGAATTGCATAGTAATAATCCTGTCGGAGACTAAAAATTGCGAGAACTTAAAAAATAAGAATATCACTTTTGACTTCCTTTCTTGTTCCCGAAAGGTGCGCATTGTTATACCCTGAAGTCATCTGGAACTCTGCAGAGTTTGGGTGAAACCAGTGTACCTCAAGTCTATTTCTCTCTTTATTAAGTTTCGGTACTACAAGCCATATTATTTATTTCAATATAAAAAATTTATATGAGTATTTCAATTCCTTGAAGTTCTACATTTTCTGTATTTCTGAAACTTTTGTCTTCCTTACGTCATTTTAAAATGCTTATTTTAATTTAATAAACATATACTCTTCTTGCATTTAATTATACAAAATATAATTGAATGTTAAACATAACAGATAGTGTTTTTGATTTTGCATTTTCTTTTTTCAAAGTACTTTCAAGCTTTCGTTGATTGTTTTGCATGCAAGTCTTTGTATACACAACACGCTTTTTATTTCTAGAGGCAAGCATAAGAGTATCCTGTTTCATTTAAACAACGCTATTTGTTTTAATGATTTTCGAATATTGTTTCATGACAATGGAAAAAAGTTGAGCTGCAAAATATAATCAGGTTTATTAGTTTAATAAGATAAGAGTTTTATTTTACTTGTGTTCATTATATATTTTATTGAATAAACAATGCTTGACAATACAATTTTAGAAAATGAGAATGATCTTTCTGTTATTTTTATTCTGTTGGTGATGGATAAGGCGATTTTCAAATGAAGTTAATTGGAAAAAAAAATAAATGCATTTCTTTAAGTAAACTTGAATATTTCCTTCGAACTGTTTGCTAAATTACAATTCTAAACCAGGCAAAATTGAAGAGTGTACTAAAATCGTGAAGTAATTTGATTCGTTCAAATTTTTTAATCACATTTATTCTAATGAAATTTTCAAAGAAAAACCTTTTCTCTTTCATTTCTCTTTTCTCCTCCCCCGAAGTGTGACTCGTCGGTTAATTACCTCTAAGTTAATGCATGAGTGAATTATAAGCTCAATCTTGACATGATTCAATATGGCGTTATTCGGTTGGCTTCTTCAAATTAAATTAAAATTCATGAATTGTGCAAAAATTTTTCAAGCTTTGAAATGTTAATTTACTGAGTGTGTGCTAATTCTTTCCTCTTAAATAATACTTTTTTTAAATCTCTATTGGCATGTTTTTTAAAAATATTTAAATTTCTATGCTTTCATTCCATTTACGTAACTGCTTTTGTTCTACTTTTTCTAAATTCTAAATTCTTGATTCTTGAACTTTACGTTCTAAATTCTTGAACTTTTCGGTTAATTTTCTTTATCAGAAATACATTTTTAAAGATTTGGTCCTTATTGAGATTTAAATACAACATTTCTTGCTGTACGCAGTCAGACTGCTGTTATCCGTTAAACTGTTGATAATTGACTTAGGGTTAAGACAAAAATGATACTACCTTGAAGACGTACTTTAATAACTTTAATACTCTGATTACACAATATACGTTTTTTATACTACTTTCTTCTGTGAAGATCTAAATTCTTGAGCTAGGACTTGTCTTGAGAAAACTCAGTCTTGAGAAAGGCCTGATTGTAGGAATTACTTGTAGGAATATTAAAAATAAAATGTAGGAACATTAAACATAATATTATAATTATTCATTGCCACATTTTATTTGATAAATTCATCCCAAATATGTCAATTCCTCTATCAATTTACTGCACATTATGAAAATATGATTATGCCACTATATTTAAATCCAATTTTCTGTCCCTAGGCTAACTTTAATACTCTCATGTGCAATGAACTTCGCCACATATCCACACGACACACAGCATTGTTCTTTGGAAATGGAAAGTCGTAAGTTTTATCTAGTTTCATATCTTTAAATGAAGTACCTGATATGTTAAACTTCGCTAAGATTTTTCATTAAGATTTGTATTCATTTATACTTCTTTGTTGTGCATCGTTAATCTTACAAAACAGTAACGTACATTGAGAAAAGAGCTGATAAAACTCATAAAATCTCTAACTTTATGAGATTTTTAAGCAGTGTGGAAGAAAAAATATTATATTATGACATAAAACTTTTAGTACTATCTAGTATTCTTTATATATATATTCCACACTTCTCATTGTTAAACGGGTTTGGTTATTATTTTCGCATATTTTTCATCGTCAGCTTCAATTAGCAGTTTATTCTTAATTTATTTTCCGAAGTCATGACGTTTTGGACTAAATATTCAGATTTCAATTGTTTTTTATTATTTTAAAATGTCTGATTGGAGAATTTAGAACTACATTATGGGAATAATATGAAGACCCAAAATTGCTATCCAGTGTAACGTCAGAACGGGTGTTTGGTGAAAGAAAAGACCGGTTGTCTTTTAAAATATTTATTTAAAAAACTTAATTCTTGATTAAATATTAAAATAAGGACCATCACAGCCATAACTCATACAAAAGTCGCTGACGCGGCTACGACGCTAGGATGCGTCTGCTTTTTCTCGTTTACAGCATCAAAAGCTTTTTACACAAATCTCTCTCTCCTCGTTTTGTTAAAACTTGGAAAGAAATTAATTAATCCCTTATGTCCGAAAACCACACAAGGGAGGTTTCCGCTGCACCTGCCTTCAAACGGTCTGTTGTCCATTCTGTCCCTGAACAAACAGGTAGTTCTCATTAAGCACAGTCCTAGGGGGTGCATATGTCACACCAGTTGCAAAAGAAATTTCACCATCAATTTTTTCCAATAATATAATACTTGAAGAAAATAAATTTATACGGTCTACTAGTAAAAGTAATGAAGAAGTTCAAAGTAAGAATGAGCAAAAATAAACAAAGCTTTTATCTCTGACTGCTGTTTTGTTGGAACTGAATCCAACATTATCAGAGCATAATGGTTAACGCGGTAGAAGTTACTAGTTAGTCTGAAAGAGAGAATTTGTGCTTGGAACAGGTTTTTTTAACCTTTCAAATAGATACCTAACAGTTTTGCTTTGCTTTATTCGATTATGGCAAAGCATGCGAGGGCTATCTGCTAGAGGGGAAAATGCCTTCAAGAAGGACTTTCTAAAAGAAAGTGGCTCGTATCCACATTATCCGCGGGAAAAATCCCGAAACGTCCATGCAGCCTTGGCTACCAGTTTTTGGGATTTTTCTCAAATTTGCTACTTTTTACAAACCTATGCTATAAAAATTTATGTCAATGCCAATTTTTTGCGATTTCATCATTTACTGGTGCAACATTTTGCTACTTTAGAAAAACTTTAATGCATCATAAAATGCGTATATTTTAATATAATGTATTTACTGAATAAAAACTGACAATTGGCAGTTTTGCGAACATAGCCCATGAATGCATGTGCATTAATTTTTTAACTTAAGTCGTTGATGTTTTCCCATGTTTGACTGATTGATTTGTTTAGTATCTTGGTAATCTGTGGATAGGATTCCAAAGTTTAAGTCAGATTGTAGTTACTGTGTTTATCAAAGTATAAATTATGAGTAACGTAAAAACATTTAGCGCAACCTTTCCAAATGCTTTGCTTAAAATTCCCATGTTTGAAAACTGTTACAAAGAAAGAAACTAGATAAGACAGAAGCATATTACAAGCTAGGGCTTGGTGAATATGAACTGAGAGCATGCAAAAAAAGATACTGTGAACTCCAAAGAATTATAGTGTAAGTCCAAAAGTAGGAAAGCGCCTAACAATAGAAATGTGTGTATGTGATTATGGCAAAGCCTCGAGGGCTATCTGCCTAAGGGGAGGGATGCCTTCGTGGAGGGCTTTCTAAGGGAAACTGGCTCGTATACACGTTACACATGGGAAAAACCACAAAAACGCCCATGCAGCCAACCCGTTCGCGGGATTCGAACCTCGGACCGAACTACCACTGTTTAGCGACTTTACCGCACGGCCGATGGTGGGCCCAACAATGGATATGAACAAGTTAAATAAATAATAATGACATAAATTGAGAATTCATTAAAAGAAAAACTGAAATTTAAACAATGGACCCTTAGGACTCCTATGTCGAGTGTGGCTCGACATCGTATTTCTTACACCAACTCCTTTGTCGAGCTAGATATTATACGATATTATACATGGTAATTTCTAAAATAATTGAAAATGTTTGAAACTGTTTTTCTTCCTTCAAATATTTTGTACTATGTAAATAAAGACTAAATTTATCATATTTGACTAATTTATATTATTTTAAATTCTTTTTAGTATTATTTTTACATTAGGACCAAAAGTCATTTGTAGTGTGGTGTAGTGGTCGAACACGCTACCCAAAACCTCTGTTGTATTTCAGGGTTGAAATAACTCCAAACTCAAGTTATAAAACAAAAGCGAGAATTTTAATAAAGGTATAAATGTAAGAAATTAAGATAACATCAATCTGGTATGTGGATAACACTTAATCCGATAATACTTCTAAATGGTTACAAATGTGCTAAAACAACAACATATTCTGAAAGCTTCGTCCCTGCTAAATCTCATAGCACAAAATACTCCAAGCAGAACAATGCTACCTCCAGTATTCCCGGTGGACATACGGTCTTGGAAAAGTCGGCTCGTTGAACGTGCAGACGATAATTTCGAACTCACTGAGGTATTCGGCTACGCTGTCTTGAAACAACCTCGCTTCACGATGTCCAAACCTCGACTCCCTCGAAAATGAATGAAATTGAAATATTTAACTCATCATAAAAGAGCTCTTTGGTGACGAATTCAAGGAATTTAAACTCCCGAATCTGCGAGCGTTGGCCTGGCTCCTCGAGCCGCTATTCTGTGATGAAAATTAAGATCTTCGCTATGTCACTGAGCCTAGTCGGCGCGTATCCCTTAAATTTCTGGATCCTCCTCCTTCACCCCTTCCTCTAACCAGACCACTCAAAAGGACTTTCAGCTTGTTGTGTATTTTATGTGCCCCCATGCTACAAAACACTACATTTACAAACATTTAAGTATGTTTGCCCATGGGATTCGAGCTCGGTCCTGTCGATAAGGCAGTTAGTTAGAGTTAGTACTCCTAACCACTGTACGATCAGTGCTACATAGAGATACTATATTATGAAGTCTCCGTAAAAATTTTAAACAGTCCTATAGATTCTGATATATGTATGGCCATTCTGATATATGTATATGTTTTATGCAATTTTTTCCACCTTACGAAGCACGCTTTCATTTATTTATTTTTAAACACGTAGAGTTCATTCAATTATTTTGAAGCAGGAGACATCAAAAATCAGCATTGCCCTCGTTGAGACTCAAATCTGGCCCTCTCGAATACGCGCCGAGTCTGCTTTGGTTACATCACAAAGCCATTCTGGATGGGCGTAAAATTACCTTATATAATCCCCCCCTTTTAAACCTTTCCGGTACCCTACCTTTTAAAGTCGGAGTTTTGATAAAAAAGAAAGGTAGGCAGTCTAATTAGGCCTAGAGGAGTACACAAGTAAAATTTTGTGAAGATAGCACTTATCATTTTAATTCTGTGGATGTGCCCAAAAATGGCACGCTGATTGAATAGAGCTTCGAAAAGAGTGCTGAAACGAGCATTGTTGTGAATGAACTGACCGATGAGATGCGGAGAAACTAAGAATACAGACTCTCAATTGTCCTAGATTATCGGTGAGCACGGTCTGGGCACACCTAGGGTTCGCCGTTTGATTTTAGGCAAGATTTCAAGGTAAAAATTTAAAACTAATATAGAATAAGGAGATTAGCATACAGCCAAAAAAATAACCGAGAACGTTCTTTTCAAATAATTCCTTTTATACCGTAAAAAATATCTGGAAGATTTATTTGAAAAATGAGGGTCTTTAAAAATTAAACATGGCTAAAATATAAGGACTGGTTTGTGTTGAGCTGCCATCTACTATACATAAAGAAGGCTCAGAGTAACCTATAACCCTTTTTCATTCAATTTTTCTGTGCGTACAGAAGGAAATTTTTAGGTGTGTCCAGAGCGGACACACTGTGCCGCAAAGGGTTAAAAGGTGACTGGGGAATAAGGAACCCAATACCCAAATCGCGGTGGTGACTATTTATTGTCCACCTCCTTTTCAGTTCGGGTGCCACTGTAGTATCTTTAGGTATTTTTGAACCAGGAGATATAAAAAATTTGCAATACCCTCGCCAGGACTCGAACCTGGAACTCTCCAATACGCGTCGATTATGCTACTGTTACAGACATGCTGGAAGAAGGAAAATTTAATTAATTTTTATAAAGAACGAAAGGTCTCCATAGAGGTTTCTTTATTAGGCACTAATAATAGTATTAATGATGAAATGTAGATTTTAACAATTATATCATCGAACAGGGAATATAATTCCTTTTCGCTAAAAATATCAGTTTCCTAAAAAATCCACTGAACGCAAAACAAAGATCATTTATAACTTCGGCATATTTGTCTCAACCAAATATAGACCAGCCGTCCATTTTGCGAGGTAGCTAGATTTTAAACTTTGGGGGTAAATAATATAAATTTTGCTGAAAATTTCTGTCATTATTAAAAATCATTTGCTTGCATCGTTGCTTTTGTGTATCGTTGTAATGTAATGTATTGTTTTATTTACTTATTTGTTGCTTTTAGGGCAATAATTTTCGGATTTAATTTGTATGTAATTGAATTTATCACTACGTGATTTGTATGAAGTGTTTATTTTTATATAGAATTGCAGATCTTTCAATTCTGAGTCTTAATAAGTTTGAAATGTAAAAATAGCTCAACTAGAACTCTAAATATGGACAAATACGCTCCTGTCGGGCCTTGGAGACATTTGGTGATTTTTCGCCAACTTGGCGACTTTCTAAAAAATTTTGAAAAACGCATTTTCGAAGCGTCCAGAATCTTGTGCTGTACTGTATAAATACGAAACGACAACTGGAACAAGTTAGTTGTTAATCAGCTATGAAAGTTAATGGTTAAAGAGAGTTAGCTGAAATACGAATTACAGTTTACTCTTTTTTGGGAGTTGTCGATATTTCTAGCGTACTAAGAAGGAACTCCTTAATGTCCGCGTTCTCCTTGAGCTATTTACAGTTATTTATTTTGCCAAATGTCGTTAATTTTTATAATAAATTATCAATTTTATCCTGCTTATCTGGAGCGATTATTCTAAGAGACATCAAAGAACCAGTAGCTAACATCAATATTCATTTTTTTTCCAATGCTTATACTAAGTGATGCGTTTTCTTAGTTTGTTATTGATTCCAATAAATTAACAAATTTCATCGCAGACTAAATGAGAACTTTTATTTTAAGAAATTATGCTAAAAGTTATTAATTATTCCTTCATGTAAGTATATTTTCTTTAATCACTTACAATAATAAATTTATGTAAGCGATTTTATTATTCAATGATGCAAGTGATTATTACTTACTTTGTTGTGATATATTATTTTAGTGTCACATACTACTGATGACTTAATTTTCGACTGGCAGCCGGATGTTCCACTACAAGTAAGCGAAGATATCGAATTGCCACAGTTAGATCTTATCAAAACAGATCGAAAAGATTGTACTCAGACGTATTCTACAGGTAAAATAGTTATTTTTAAATTTATTTAGCGGTCAAACCTTTTGAAATATCGTAACTATATACAAAGTTCAGTCAAAACATTGCATCTTGGATCATAGTAAGCTTACAAAAATGAAATTTTGTAAGTAGAAACTTTGTTTTTTTGGACATTTCACCCAAGATATGATGAATCTGCTTTATCGTAGAGCAGATATCTTTGTCTATGATACAATTGCACATGTACACTCATGTCCAAAATTATCTTTACATACCCAAAAATGATGATATTCAATGAAATATCGAATCAATGTGATCCGTATTTGCAGGGAATGTGTGAAAACCAAGCCTAATTAGCATTATCCAATCAAAAGTAATCAAACGGTTTGTGATATGCAAATCTAGGCGTTACGTCATCCAAGGGTGAATCAAGCGCTTTGCACAAACTGAATATTCGAGTGAATTTCTGCAACATAGCGTTTGATTTCAGTGTGTAGGGACTCAAAGTGGTTTGTTATGGCTTCGAAGTATCATTTGGAAGTATCTGTAAAGTGGCGAATTATCGGCCATTTAAAAGCAGGGCAGTCAATCATGGAAACAGCCACATGTCTGAATATTTCAAGACAGACAGTCTCTAAGCTATGGAAACAGTTTCAAAATGATGGAAGTGTTGTAAGGAGGCCTGGATAAGATCGGAAACAAATGACAACTGCTTCTGAAGATCGGTATCTGGCATTAACTGCCCGTCGTAACAGAAAGGCTACTGCTCGCCAGTTAAGTTCAGAGCTTGCAGCCGCCACTGGAACTGTTGCATCACGGCAAACAATATACAGAAGGCTTAATGAAAAAGGCCTTTATGACAGAAAGCCAAGGGTATGTGTTTTACTGTCTTCACAGAAAAAGAGGGATCGCTTTAATTGGTGTAAAGAACATCAAAACTGGACTGAACATCAATGGTCCCATGTTCTCTTTACTGATGAGTCGTGGTTTAGTTTAACTGGTGATTCTAAACGTGTTTACATCTGGAGGGAGTCAGGAACACGAAATGATCCCTCAAACATTGTGGAACGTGACCGTTTTCGGTAGTGGGAGGTGTGATGTGGTATGGGGTGGAATAATGATCGATGGACGTACGCCCTACACGTGTTCAGCAGCGGATCTGTGACAGGCCAGATGTATCGAGATGAGGTCTTAGATCCTTATGTAAGACTTTTCAGGGGTGCATATGGACCTGACTTTTTATTTATGGATGATAATGCCCGTCCACATCGAGCAAAACCTCGTTGATGAATTCCTTGAAAGTGAAGACATTAAGCGAATACCTTGGCCACCAAACTCTTCCTGACCTTAACCGAAAGAGAACTTATGGGACTACCTTGGAAGAGCAATTGCACGTATACATCCTCCTCCTAGAGATGTAAATGCTCTGAAGACGGCATTGCTGGAAGAGTGGAGATTAATTCCCCAAACTGTGGTTAACAACGTTTATTTCCAGCCTTAAAACACGTTGTGATATGCGTGTACAAGTCAGGGGAGATCATATTCCATATTAAATTTGTAAGACTTAATTCTTTTTCTGAATCATTCCTTTTTTTCTTAACTCTCTTTGTCACACTTTATTACCATTTTTATTGTTTCATGCTACAATTTTATATCATATGAGGTGATCTTCAATTTTTTCTTTTGCATTTATGTGTCATCATGTTATGTATGATTCGACGAAAATTCATTAAATTATAAGTCATAGTCTCTGAGAAATCCATGAATTTATGCATGTAAACATAATTTTGGACATGAGTGTATTTTATCGACTGCCTTTTACTCTCAGGATCAAAATAAAACAGTCAAGTTTCATCAAGGCAAGTTTATACCTTTAGGAAAGCATTCTGGACAATCCCAAGAAAAAATCTGCAGGTCTTTCATTCACGTTCTTCCTGATTTGTATCATGGAACTTGCCAAAAGCCATAGATCTCAACCAGCTCTGATTTTTTCCTGTATCACAGTTTTCGTATTAGCCTTAAATCAGATCTTTTTGCCACATAGCTGTGTGCTTTAGATCTCTCTCTAGGCAGCAGCTATTTTGGATGAATTCATTGATGACTGATGCGTTTTTATCGTTTCTTACTTGACTGTGGCTGATCCTGAATGTTTCAATCACCAAATCAGAAACCTCTGAAGCTAATGACACACATTAATTCTATTCATTGCTTTATCCTTATAAACTGGCAATAGCTTATTGTTAATCGACACTGCTGATTTATCCCAGGATTCGTAAAGGAATTCGATTGGCATAGTAAGATATCACGTAGTTCATTTACAATGGCTTACTTGCAATAAATGGAAATAAAAATTATCTGTAGGTTAGATGTTAAAGGACAAATGTTTCCGTCCATAATATTTAATTTACCTAATGTTTACCATTACCGAGCAACAATGTTTAGAGTACGTTAGTTTTTGCGCAAATTTTGTACATGATTCTGAAAATGCAGTGAAATCTGTGTCTGTGTTTCCGAATGTAATTTGTTTTTGAAGAGCGTTCGTCATCCGAAATGTTTATAAACCGAAACAATTTTTCCCATAGGAATTAATGTCAAATAAATTAATCCGTTCCTGAATCACAGATGAATACTTGTCTAAATTTTACTATAGTGCTTCGTGTACAGATTCATGACACACAAAAAACAATTATTAAGCCTAAGAGCAGAAAACGACAAATACAATATTAAACAATAAAGCAGATGGTAACGGATAATTTAAATTTACCGTATCTATATGAAGTAGAGTGGCGGCCTAAGTAGATAGTGACAAGGAAAAGATCATAGTTTCTGAATGAAAAATCTCCTTCTATAATAGCATTAGATAACTGTCTTTCTAATGCATCATCTTCTATCTTTTCTTTATGTTAACGCCACTCGAGTATGCTTAAGACTCGCTGGGTGTCTGTTTCACTCAAAATTTTATTTCTTGTTGTTTACAGTTTTAAACATTTCTAAAGTGAGACGTGGCTTTGTAATTGAAAATGATTCCTGTGCAGCTACTGCTATAACAGGATAATATCGTTATGTGAAATTTTCACCTTACCTCATTTTACACTATAAGGTATTTCTCCCACCTTCTTGGCATGCCTTTGTGGTGTGTGATCTCCACACTGGACAGATATCCAGAAGTCCGTGGTTTCGAATCCCGGTGAAGGCGGAAGCTAATTTTTCATTTCTCCGGCCTCCAAAAAAATACCAAAATGCCTCTACAGTGGCGCCCGAACTAAAAAGATTCTGGATGATGATTCTCCTCACCCAGGATTTGTTTTTCAAATCGTGCCTGCTTCTAAAAATTACCTAATGTCTCTAAAACACAAAATTCGAGGATCAAAGATCTAGAATCATATTTTCTTTTTTCATCTTCCTCTGAAGATATTTCTCCCATAGTCACCTTTTGTTGCTTACTTACTTTTTGTTTTAACAGAATTAAATTTTCACTATGAACTCTTATTCTGCTGTTCACAAATAAAGTAATCGCGAAAAGACGGAATTGATGATGTAAGAACTTCATGCTATAAATTGGCCATTGTCAATAGACTAAAAGCACTGCCTATGTAAATAAACTAAATTTTAATACAATAGAATAAGAGTAAATATTATTTCTAGAATATAGAAGTATAAGAAGGTTTGGATCTACTGTGATGTAAAAAATATCCATAAAATATAAGAAAGCCTTTCTTAGACTATTTATTTTAATTAGATTATAATTTGTTTGCAATAAACGCCAAAACAGCGGGGAAAACTCAAACTAGAGATAATTTCTCTAAACGTGATAAATTAAGGTAAAAATATTTCTTAAAATATGAAAAATGCTTAAAACTGTAAGAAAAAAACTATTCACACACTTAAAAAGTTTCAACTTTATCGTGCAGATTTCTTTTGTACCATAGCAAAAACTAAATGCGTTAATTTAGTGTTTACTTTTGCCTGTTTTCTTTGACTTTTATCTGACAATGTGCACCAAAACAAATTAAATGTCAATTGATGTCAGCAGTCTCATTACAAAATTGTTCAGAAATAAAAATTCTCTACATGATATAGAAATTAGGGTTAAAAAAATCCGTATTATTGTGCAATATGTTGTTAAAAAATTTTATAAAATGGAAGTGTATAAAATAAACATTGTTCTGGAAGATCATAGAAGTTAAGCGAGAGAGACGGACAATTTATTTTGAAGAAATTAAGTTAGATGATCCTTTTGTAAGTTCTTCAACTGCATCAGAATTTCGAGAAATTTCCAGAAAGAAAGTTCTTTCTAGAATAATTAGAAATTTCTTAAATAGAAAATCTGGATATTATACTCAAGTAGACACACGAAAATCATTCATAAGTAAAGCTGTAGAAAGAAGCAGGAGAGATGAAAAATAAGCAATGCTCTCGCCGAAACTCGAACCACGGACTCTCGAATAGGCGCCGAGTGTGCTGGCCACTACACCACGCTCAGAAGGTGGGAGTAATACCTTATATACTCCCCCTTTTAAAAGACGACTGGGATTAGGGAACCCAATCGCCAAATCCTTGGTGGTGAAGAATCATCATTCAGCATCTTTTTTAGTTGGTGCGCGACTGTAGAGACATTACGACTTTTTTGAAGGAGGAGACATGAAATATGAGCAATGCCTTCGCCAGAACTCGAACCACGGACCTCTCGATTACGCGCCAAGTGTGCTGGCCATTACACCACCAAGGCATGTTAAGATGGCGGGAGAAATACCTTATAAAGATAGCTGAGAGAAGAGACTAGAATTTGCAAAAGAATCGATTAGCAAACCTGAAGAATTTCAGCATCTAGTAACTTTTTCGGGTGAAAGTAAATTTATTGTTCACAATCAGATAAATAAAAATTAGTCTTAATGACAGCTGGCCAAAGCATGAAGAACATATACAGGCAACGGTAAATCACGACGGTCGAAATATAACGTTGTGGGGGTATATGGCTGTAAGTGGGGTTGGAAATAATTATTAGTTATTGTTACTATTTTGATTAAATACGATTATATGAACATTTCCGACACCAAATTGAAACAAAAAGCGCAAAAACTGGACCTTTCTGTAAATTTACACTTTTAACAAAACAATGATCCCAAACACAAAGCGCGAACTATGAAGGAGTGGTTACATTGCGATACACTACATACTCTAGAAACTTCCTCACAGTTACCAAACGAACAATCTAATACATTTGGAAAGGAATGAAAAGGAAACTTAAAAAGTGCCCAATATCAAATAAGCATGACTTTAAATATCATTTAATTTTAAGATGGGATTCTTAGTAGTTCAGTGCCTAAACGTCTTCAAACCGTCGCTAATGCAAAGTGATATTGCACTAATATTGAAATACTGTTACGAATTTTGTATACATGTAAATAAATTTAGTGATATTTTATGTAAATTGTAGTATATCCTGTATAATGTAACATGAATAATGTAAAATGTATAATTTAAAATGTATAATGTAAAATGAAAGGACTCAGGATGCGAAGCATTGTCAAAAGTAATGTTATAGAGGTAAGTCATTTAAAATTGAGGTAAATGGTTATGTTGCCAAATTAGTGAAACAGGGCCAAGCTGGTGATGGTTTTGGATTCGGCCGAGAAATTATCAAAAGTTGCCGAACTTAGCGACACATTCGACGACATTTTGTTTCGATCCATGGGTAACTGTAAATAGGCCGATCTCTGTGCAACTGCATCCGGCCCTCTGTAACTGTAACTATGTATGCCTTCCAAAACGTTTGCGAAATCGAAGGTATTGGAAATTTCTCGGTGGATAGAGGACACCTACGTATATAGGATCGAAGAGAGCATCAGTTTTCAGTTAAGTTCAGAGTTGAGTTCAAAGTTTAGCTCAGCGTATTGAGAGATCATTCTTGAAAGCTTTTTGTATTGCATTGTGTTCAACGTTCTTAGTAGTTTAAAGTGGTAGCTACTGATTGTGCTCGATCGTACCGAGAAGAGCATTAGTGTGAAAAGTTCCATTAGTGTTTAGAAAAATGAATTTCATCAAGCCGTCATCGTTTCTGTGTGTATTCATTCCATTACGAACCCATAAGCACGTAACAATACGTTTTCTTTAATTTAATATTATTATTATAATGCTATGTAATTAATAAAGTAATCCACTGATTTTTCACTCTATGCAAAGATAACTTATTTTTGTCTTTGGTAATTGTGTTAAGTACATGTTGAAGTATTTGTGGATGAGGATTTCAGTTCTTTAAATATGAATCACTGCATTTAAATCATAAATGCTTCATATAATTTCAAGTTATCTTCAGGCTACTACAAGTGTATAAATACACTGTTCTTTCACTTTACATTTCTACAAAATCCGCAGCCACCCAACTGATATAGTGGTTAATGTCGCAGGCTGCCATGCCGAATGGCCCAGTTTCAAATCCCTGAGAAGGAATGAGCGTTTGTAAATGAATAGCGTCCATTCGACAGGGGGACACTCTAAAGATTCGGCGAGTCGAAAATCCTCTGGAAAGGCTGGTGGTAGGGAAAGAGGTGTGAGAGGCCCTCGGACCCGTCCGCCCCAGGTGCTCTCCATCAAAATTGGGGGCGAAATTGAGCTAAATCGTACTGTCACCAGTAAGGTGCTTAAGGCTATTGCCAATAACTAGCTTACCTTTCCCCCTTGCCACGAGGAATTTCTTGGGCTTGGGCTGACTGTAGATCAGACAAGTGAACATTAGTCAACAACAACAACAAAGAAAATCAGCAAGTTTACTAATCCATCTTAGGTACTATTTATTATTGCATTTAAGCTTTTCCGCTGAAAATTCTTAAAAACATAATTAAATTCTTAAGAGAAATGTTGCTTTGAAAAACAGTAGACACAACATTTTAGGACAGGCAGAAATTTTATGTCTGTTTCAAAGACAACATCTCGGAAAATGGCTTTTATATAGATATCTTTTGTATAAAATTTTAAGTTGAATAGTAACTGTCATTTCCTCACTTTAGGTAATTTCACTTGTCTCAAGGTCACCTTCACACTGAAGAGGCGCTTGGGCTACTACATGTTTCATACATATATCCCAACATGTCTTATTGTCATCATGTCTTGGGTGTCCTTCTGGATAAGGCCTGATGCTGTTCCCGCTCGTGTAACTCTAGGAGTTACAAGTCTGCTGACGCTATCGACTCAACATGCGAAGAGCCTCGCCTCCCTCCCACCTGTATCTTATATCAAGGCTATCGATATTTTTATGGCCTCGTGTACAGTGTTTGTATTCTTGTCTCTTATGGAATACGCCTTAGTCAATGTAATTCTTGAAGAATCTGCGGCCATGAGTCTCAAGCAAAAGATATCGAGGAGAAATATGGAAGAAAATTTAATGGAACGTGAAGAACTGGTGAGTGATGCCATTGTTTCATTTGCATTTAATTTTAGAAATTGTCGTAATGAATAGTTTGTAATAGTTTAATAATAAACAATTATAAATATGCTATGAAGGCAACAAGAATCAACGTAATTTTCAAATTTTCGCAGGACTAGTTTCGAAAGTTTGAACCGAACTGCAGGACTTAAAATGACAAAGGAGACATTTAAGCTCACACGTTAACAGATAGAAATTTCGAGAAATCTCCATTAAGGAACTTGTATGTTAAAGTTCTTGGAATTTCTGATGTCTTGTTAAAATCACGTGAGGCCAGGCTTCTTCTTCGTCATTTTAACTGCTTCTCCTGAAGAACATTTAATTCAAACCTTCCAAACTTGTAGTGTAAATTTTGAAAATTACACTAAATCTTGTTGACGTAGTGTCTGTAATAATTGTTATTCGGTGTGCTATTTTAACCTATTTTAGTTTCCATACCACGATGTGTTTCTGATAAATTATTTTAGATAAGATTTCTGCGAAAATCTACAATTTGTTTTATCGGAATTTGCAATTTAATGCTTTCTTCCGGAACAGCCGAATCTATTGTTTATTTAGACAGATCATTACAGAGAATATTTCCCAGGGTGAACGACAGGAGGTGAAATATATTACATCCGTGAGAAAGGAGGGACACACAAACAGCCAAATTTAAGTGGTATTCGATGCCACACTTTAGACTTCGGACTAAGAGTAACTAAACACTAGACGATCATGGTACGTCTTTAGACTTTAAAGAAAGACTAAGAATTTCTGATGGAAAACGTTTTAGAAGCTTTTTTCTAAACTCAGTGAAAGGCATTTTTACGATACTTGTGTTATTAGCATACAATATAAATATTGAAATGCAAAACGTATATTTACTCCCGACTGCAAAACTGCAAAACGTATATTTACTCCCAAATGTCCTGATATTATGTAATACTTGAATGAAATTACTTTTGTATCTCATTTTCTTATTAGTTATTCTTCGTTCCGTGAAATAGTTGATTTCAGTTTTTTTAGTAGTATAAATAAGCTACAAAAAATATACGAAAGTTAATTGTAAAATATTTAACTAGGTGAACATATTCTTTATATAAATATTATAACAGGTTATTCGAATGCAAACTATGTGAGGGCTATTTCAACCTAAGGGAAGAGTTTTCTTCGTAAAGGACATTCTAAGGGAAACTGGCTTGTATTCCCTTTACATATGAGTAAAACCAAGCATAGAAACCAAACATGCAGACAACTTGTTCCCCTCAGTTCGCCCTAGTCGATAAATATTTGTATTCAGTGGTTGTAATCACTCGACCACAGTTAGGGCATGATATATTATATAACATCGAATTCTGCTAGGTATTAGCACTCAAATGATTATGCCGTTCTTAAGTAAGTATTAAATATTGGTATAAATATAGGGTGCGGCAGCGTTCATAGTAGGATATTAAAAGCACACCATAAGCCATTACCTGTAATTTATTTATTACCTCTTATGTCAATTAATAGTTAAAGGTATACCATTTACTAATGTGTAAGTCATTGTCCATTGCGTGGATTACTTTTTGAACATGATGCCCCCTCTGCACAGCATATTCATCTAGGTGCCGTTGGAAGCTTGCCATAACTCGGCGTAACGTATTCCCTGGGACGTTGCCGACGGCAGTTCGGATGCGATCCTCCAACTCAGGAATGGTGGCACAACGCGTTCGGGAAACTTCTTGCTTCAGGTTCCCCCAAAGTCGGCACATAAAAGATCAGGTGAGCGAGGCGGCTAGGAAATGTCACCAAAACGGAAAATTACTCTACCTGGAAATGCCTGTCGCAATGGTCCGTCTATCTGGAACTTTCCCATAACGTCCCAAATTGAAATGTTCCCGAAATAGACGCTGGGTAGCAATAACAGAGTAGTTATTCTTGAAATAACTTTCAACAGCAAAGGCATGATGCTGTGCAATCCAACGATCCATATCACTGTCACACTTGAAATGGCAGCTCATTAGTACACGAATGCGACACGAGTTGGCGCGCATTCATGCAGTACGTCATTGAGCTACGCAAGTCAAATTACGCTATGAACGCTGCCACACTCTCTATTATATGCTGTTCTTAAATTTTTTAAATCTTAATTGGAATGCTATCTATTACTTTTAGTTACAGTGAAATAATTTTTCAAATTTTTGTTCTGTAATTAGGCTTGTTTCTGTTATGTTGAATGGTAACTAATAAAATATTTAATTTTAAAACTTATAGCAAATATTTTTGAGTATTTCACCAGATTTATTTTATTTTCGTCATTTTTTTCCACAGAGTGACGCACACATTGTGATTATGGATTTAAAATCAAATTCCGTTTCGTCTAAAGTTCGCTGTCATCAAACATGGGCCTCTAGAATTGACCAGATTTCAAGGATAATGTTTCCTTTTAGCTTTTTTGTACTCTCTGCTGTCTATTGGATATACTATCTTCTTTGTATTTAACATAATCACGTAATCTAAAAAAAAATAGAAAGAAAGAAGATTTATAAGTTTATTGTAACTGTTTAAATTTACATGCTGTGTAATCCTCTTTCTTCAAGTATATATTAACTTCGAGAATCTTATTGGTTTAACATTTCTTCAATTATCATGCGTATTTCTGATATGCTGAAGTAATCCGTTGCAGTGCTACTATTAGAGCTTTCAAATTAGCAGCATTCACATAGCTGGTCAATATCTAAAAATCATCAGAGAAAAAGTTATGAGAAGTTATGGTGAATTAATTATAGCAAAGCATACAACGACTATCTGCCTTAGGATGAATGTCTTCGTGGAGGATTTCCTAAAGGAGACTAGGGCATATTTTCTTCATACATGGGGAAAACGTGCGTGCAGCGCGTTCATCAGGTGTAGCGGTGGTGTATTTAATTATGGCAAAGCACACTAGGGCTATCTGCCTAAGGAGAGGGATGCCTTCGTGGAGGACTTTCTAAGGTAAACTGGCTCGTATACACGTTACACATGAGGAAAACCACGAAAACAGCCATGCAGCCAGCCCGTTCGCGGGATTCGAACCTCGGACCGAACTACCAGTGTTCAGCGACTTTACCGCTCGGCCGCTGGTTGGCCGCGTTCATCAGGAACCGAACTTAAGACGAGCTAATTGTGCTCAACGGTGTTATCCATTCTATCATTAGTGGGCTCGAGCTTCATGGATTTTAAATTACTGATTTCAAATACGCCGTTGCTTTCTGTCTACGTCAAATTTTGTAGAAATGAATTTATTCAAACTCATTCTTTTATTATTTCAATAACAGTGAATGAATTCTGTGATTATTATTTGCAAGTAAATTATTTCAGTGATGAATAATAATAAGCCTCCACGGAACAGCTGCAAACACTAGATTCAAATTTTGAACGCCGTGGTGTTAAATATAGACTGAGCAATTGGTAATTAACATACATGCTTAAGTTCTATAAATGTTGGAGAATAATACATAAAAATTTGAAGAATCTGATTTCAAGATTTTATATCTCTGTTCTTCAGCTCGAATTTGAAGGACTAATATATGTATAATTTAATTTAAGCTGCTTTACTTTATATACATTTTTAACTGTGAAGAATATGTCAGCTCGTTTCTAAAGGGCATCATAAGTGTCATCAACAGAAAACAAAACTATTTCAAGCAATTAAAATAAATAAAACAAGATATTCAAGCACGTCTAGGACATTATTTTAATAATTAATTGAAAATATAGCTACTTAAATTAGTATTTTGGGAAAATGAATTTCTTCGCAATAATCAGTAATTTTAAATCTTAAGGCCTTTATGTCTTAATGCGCGGTCGATTCTAAGGTGCACCCCATTTTAGGGACATCTGTAAGAAAAGAATGGTGCCTTTAGATTTGAAAGAATATGGTTTATGTATAATACTATGAAAAACAGGTAGCATATCAGTTTTAAATAATGCAAATGAAATACAGGAAAGCAAATGTTCTCAAATTTGTGGATCATAGATCACCAGAATTTGAATGAAAAATGCAATGTAATGATAAATACTAAATGCTGTGGCTTTAAATAAAGAAAAGACGGTGAAACGCCTTGTAGTAAAATATATACAGAACAAGACAACTAAATATGGTTGTCTTGTTACAATACAGAAGAAGACAACCAAAAGTACTTTTCGAAACATGAAGTTTAACTTATAAAAGGGTAAGGAAGGACAAAAATAGTGCATAATTTTGCCATCAATTACGTTCCGCTTTACAAAAGTGTGAATTTAATATAATCTCTTTCTCTTTTAATAAGGTGTTATGTCAACAGTATTGATGTGTGCTTCTTCTCGTCTGAATCTAGAAATTACTTTCCAGTCAAGCAATACTATTCACACCTTTAAATTGGACACATCGAAAAGTCCCGCAGCAGACGGATGTGAAAAAAGCATAATAATGTTACCAAATGAAACATATAGGACTTTTTTTTTAGAAAATAGCGTCTTATATACTTCAATCTCTATTAACGTAAAAGGATACTTGGTCTTCTGCTGGGGCCTTGATGAGAGAAAATAGCGTTGGCGCAATTCATGCTTAAGAATGCGCGATTTATTGCCAAATGTTATGAACATGAAAACAAAACCTACGAAAACGAAAAATGAAATGGAAATTCAATCGTTATCCATGAAAACGAAATGATTACGGTTAACGATAAATCGGTGATTCATTCGAAATTTATACCATAAGGTTAGTTAATATATATAGGTATAATATAGTATATATTTATAGAGAGAGGGGAGGAATTTAATATAAATTTACATTTACTTTAGTTTTTAATACAAATTTGCCAAGATTTATTTAAAGTAACGTAATTTAAAAGAACTTATTTAATAGCTTATGTAAACATACTGGAAAATTCATTTTTTACACACTATTTCTAGTGACTACAATTCACTAATTGCTTCTAATAATGTCTCAAACATCAGCTATAACTTCTTTTTCGTTGATGGAAGACTGAAAATAGTAAGCATAATGAGTATTTCACAATCAAAAACCTCTATATTGACACATTCCAGTTACGAAAAACCTGCCCAGACCGTTAACCATTTGTTTCTCAGATATGCGCAGATCAGCAGCCGTCTGTTTGTCGCCGATGCAAAAATGCACCAAATCCGCTTTATTGCCAAGACCGCTACAGAACGCATGTACTGAAAAAAAAAAATTTTTTTTAATAAAATCTCAAAGCTTTCAGATTTTACATTACGCCCAAAGGGGCACTTTTGATAGTTTTGTGTACTACCTTTATTAAATATCATGTTCTTCGTACTCAAACCATAAAATTCAATTCAACAGTAATATCGCAAAATAATTTTAAAATGAACATATCTCTAGAATTTCGATTCTTTAGATTTTCTCGGGCGCTGAAGATAAATTTTTTTTTTTTTCGTACAGTGTTGCCATTGCTCGCTTTGAAAGTAGTTGAGTTTGTTAATCGTTAAAATTCGTTAAAATCTTACAAAATATGAAATCGATAATAAAGCGAATTCCAAATTCCAGATCAGTGCTTCCAGATGCCCATATTCGATTCAGGATTACGTTAGTCAAAATTTTATGGCTCTAGGTACCGTTGTTTTATCACAATGCGAGAAACTTACATACATTTATGCAGGTTCTTCATAATTTAATTTCTTTAAATATAACACAGGGCGATAATATTTGGTGGCAACAATTTGAAAAGTGAAAAAGACATTTAATGCTTTCGATGCAAAATGCCAAAATGAAATTAATAACCGTTCTGGGCTAAAAAACATTTCAGGAGTCTCTTTTAGCGGGAAGTCCAACTTAACGCACAATTTATCCAGCTCATTGAGATCGCTCAGAAAAAACAGAAACAGATTAAATGCTTTACTCTGAAAAAGTTTAAATGCTTTACTGTACTGTATTTTTAAATTTTGATCTTGGAAAACCATACGAAGTTAAAACACTACCTGATATCTACAATATGTAAATAATGTATGAGTGCCAAACTAGGTAAAAATAATTTGTAGCAAAGATTCGGTTTATAAGATTTTAATTTTCCAATTTGTATCTTTGAAGTATTTCCCTGCATCTGTAGTTATCTATGTATTAGTACCAACCAACAAATCCTTGCAGATTATTTTGAGAATACTCAAATAGCATTGAATTTTTGCCTCTTTTCTTTTATTTCAAATTAAAAAAACTTGATTCATAAGAACAGTTTCTTAAATTATGTCAGGAAGTTGAGCTCACTTGTATCCATCGGCCTATCAGAGGTATGCTGATGGTCCGATTAGAACATTTAATTACCAGTTAGAAAAATGTCATTTTAGATTAGTTCAAAATTGTTTTTAGTTTAATGGATATGTTTATTATACAAATTAAAAGCATTTATAAGAGCGTCAGTTTTTTTAGCTCTGACTGTGTGATATTCTGATTCCAACCATAGGCAGCGCTTATCAATTTAACTACATTCTTGAATTGTGACTTGATTTTCCGATAATTTAATGGCATATCTGAAAAATATCCCTTTTTCCTGTCGAAACTCGTACTTCTTTCTGAAGTGTTATTACTAATGAATAAGGAATCACTGTAAATATGTAACAAAGAAACTGATGTTTAGCTTTATCATGATACTTATAAATATATCTCTAATACCTTGTTATGATATTTCATACTGTATATGAATATGTTTTGTAAGAAATAAAACAAATTTGACACCAGGTTATTTGTTCATATGATTATTACTATTATTACTATCTCAAATGATAGATTTCGCTTGTGGTTTTCAGTTCAATATCAGCACTCGCGCAGGTATTCTGGGCCTGGGCAGTAGTTGACAGACTGCTGACATTGAACTGAATGCTAACGGACTGCTGGACGATCAGTGGGGTTCATTAATCATTCCGAGAATGCTAATCAATATTAATCAACACGTAATTTCATCGATATATAACTAGTATAAGAACATGCATGTCTGACATATTAAACTGGAAAAAATAACTAATAGAATACTACCAATACAGCTACACATCAGTAAGAACACTAGTAACATGAGACTGTGTATCGGCATTATATCGGAAATTACAGCGTTGTTAAATCCGAACAGACTGAATGAATACTATTCAACAACATATTAGGAAAGAAAAAAGAAGAACTCAAAACAATATAAAAGAGTTAGATACAATGATATACGGTAGAATCATATTAGTTACGAATACGGAATCTAAAAGCAGGCTATTTGATATGAATATTATAAAATTGCACTGCAAACCCTATAGAAGAGAGACCCTTTTTGAAGCAGGAAACACGAAAAAATAGCTATGCTTGCTCCTGGATTTAAACTCATCTTCTGACTGGTAGCTGGACGTGCTACAGTTTACAAAACGGTAACACGATGTGGGGAAAGCAAAATTTCATAATATTTTTTCCCACTTAAAGAGTGCCTGGAGAAGGAGGAGACCCAGTAGCCAAATCCAGGTAATAACGAGTTATCATATACCGCATCTTATCCGGGTGCCACTTGTAGAGACACTTAAAATTTTTGAAAACCAGGAACGTGATAAAATCAGGGATGCTTTCTCCGGAAATTAATTTCGAGATCTTTTAATTGCCAATCGGACGTGCTACCACTTATACTACGAGAGCACGCAGTGAGGAAAGCGAAAATTCCGTAAAATTCTAGAGATTAACATCATGTGTTATAGCATTAAAAATTATTCTTTTTTACCAAGGCTTCAAATGTTGTAAAAAATTTGTTTGTAGCACTGACATTCTATATTCATAGACAAAAATCCAATACAGCAAAACCTAGAGCGCGTATTTGCAAAACGCGATTTCGTATATGTGCATTAGATTAATTGTTTCCATTAAATTTGTCCAGTGTTAGAATTTCATTTATATGGGGCGAAACGTTCATTCATCAATACTGAATTGTTTGGCCAGAGTTGTCATCAATGATTTTAAAGGATTTCCATGAACTGCAAATAAAGCCAAAGAAATTGTACACACTACACAAGCAAGTGGCGGCGAAGGACTTTCTGATATGGAAAGAGTAGATGTCAAAGAATTAATCGAGAAATGACGAATGAAGAACTGAATTATCATATAATACTCGTACCAGCCGACAATGAAAGCGGTGATAATGAAGAAGATAAAGCGCCAATAATGAAGAAGATAAAGCGCCGATAATGAAGAAGATAAAGCGCCTTCAAGAAGTTAAACGAATTGTTAAAAAGGGGACAGAAACTTTCTGATTTTGCAATGTAAATTAACTCAAATGAAGAAAGAAGACGCTTTATTAAAGTAATTGAAAACCTCTTTTGTTCTTACCGCAAAACTTGAGTCAATTATTATCCCAAGAAGAAAACCACCGGCTTTAAAAAAAAAATTGTACCACATAGTACTTATTAAGTATTACTGAAACTCCTTTCAATTAATATTTGTTTCCTTTTTTTCTTTTTAATTACAACAATGCATTTTAGTATGGGATGTATCTCTTCTATTTATCTTATGCACTTAGTGAACTTTGATCATAAATATAATTTTAAAGTTTAAAAAGATAAGAGTTCCTTATTTCATATAAATCCTTTCGCAATGTATACTTTTATTTGCCTAATTAATCTGTAAAAGACGCTCATTAACTAAAGTATCTTTCCTGAAAATCTGCCTTAATTTTCTAGTTTTATATTTCACAAAAGCATCAAAGTCTTTTTAAAGACATTTGCTGATGAGTGTCTTAAATTCTTATGCATGGTAGGTGATTATTACATTACCATTCCTCATACCTATTGTAGTTTCTAAAAAAGAAGAACAGAAAAAAAAAAAATTACATAAATATGTTTTATTCTTAAATTACAAAAAAAAAAAAAAAAAAACCCTTGAGCTCAAATATTAATTTTACACGAAAAATTTTCGTTTAAAAGATCTAATTAATTAAAGACGGCAAACACCGAATGTTTAATCTATAAGCGAGAGATGCTAGCATAAAATAAATGTTTTTAGCTCAGTCACACACATAGAAATGCTTTTTCAACGCCTGGAAGTCAAGGATAAAAAGATGAAAAACACCATTATCCAACAATTAAACTTTTCATTCATCCATTTGTCCCTTCACTGAAGAAAGACCTAATCGGTTACACTTCCAAAGCAATGTATAAATTTTATGAAAAGAATTTTGTGTAATAATGACATATGAATATACAGGATGAACATATGTGACAAGAGCACTGAATATATTTTCCTATTATTTAATACATACTGCTGCTTCCTCGAATTTCATCCTAATCACATTTCCGTATCCGCTTCAGTGACATCTCAGAAACATTGATATGACAAGCAGTGATAATATTAAGCAAAAAATATATTTTGATATATATTTCTAAAGTCTATAAATATGAATAATTTTCAAATTATTGCTATCTGCTGGATATCTTTTTAGATTAATTAACCGGCTGCGACGCTAGCAACCTAAAATAGTTAGTACAAAAATTACTAAATATATAAATATTCTAATGAGCTTAGATAGTGCGATGTCACTGATGTATTTAATGCTTTTAATTAGATACTTCATGACTTAAATGTATTTTTATTTAAATCAATCAAGCTAAAAATATAATTAAGAGCTGTGTTTTTTGCTTCAGAAATGCTCCGTTTGTTAATTGATAATAAACATTAAATCTGAAAGATAAATTACTAACACTTTGCAAAATGGAAAAACACTGATGCGCGGAAGATAAAAATGCTTTGTATCGAGCAGTGCCAACATACTGTTAACCAGAGAACAGGGGCTCCATTACCTAGCTGACATGATGTCTGCCTTACACGGATTAAAGCCCCTGCCTCCAGAAACTATTTATTATGACTAAGCAGAATAAGTTTACAGTGGCATACAAGGCCTTCAAGAACACAAGAACATAAGTAACAGAGTCATAATAGACCCTAAAGAAAGCATGTTACAAGTAGTACCTCAAACAATAAAGCATAATGTACTGAAAATACGAAATACTTTCAAAACTGAGTCCAACTAATTTAAATAAAAACTATGGTACAAACAAAATATAATACATCCATTACTGTATTATACACAATTAATATCAATTAGATTCACAATTTCAAGAAGAACCATTCAATTTAGGAAAAAAAAAATGCATAAAGATAAACTAAGACAATAATAAACTGCCAAATAAAATTTTTCATATGAATTCAGAATTAAGAACCAATAACTTTGATAACTGAACAATATTATCATAAAATACACTGAACCTGAGATATTATTACAATGCAAAACATAAATTTGGTTTAAAAACAAAACCACTCCAAGTAATATAAAAACTCTACATCAGGTTTGCTGGCAACGCGATAGAAATACAGTACAAGAATAATGCCAACATAAATATATGAAAAATTTCCGATTCCAAAAACCACATACATTCAAAAATAAGTCAAAGAAAATTATTATAAAATACTGCCTTAAATGCACATTTTACAATAGAGAACTCAAGTAAAACCAATCAAATTCACAAAAAA